TCGTTGTGCTTTATGATAATAAAATCGAAGATTTCAACACCTTCGATCGAACGTCGAGAAAGAAAAAAAAAAGCACAAAAACGTCCCAACGTTTCTTCAGCGACAGTGCGATATCTCCAGTTGTACTATGATCCTCGTGAAAATCCTGACACCGCCGTTATCTCTCCTCCATCTGGAAACTTCGAACGATACAATCTGCGAAACAATCGCTGATGATCTGAAAGCGGTGAATGTTCTTATTCCACGCGAGGTGGAACACAACACAGACAAAAATCCAAATGAATAATCAGCATGTCAGTTTAATCACACATAGTTGTCTAATGTACAATTAGGAAGTGTTGCTTCGACTGTATCTTTGGTATCGTTGCACTGAACTGATTCACGGTGATCGCTACAGCACACGCTCTAACCTTTTTTTTTTTTCTGCTTTCTTTGTTCACCATACACCTATGTACACCTGGAAACGCCTGCTTTTCGTCGATCCTCGGATCGACGACGACGAAGTCTCCCTCGTTTTCACGAGAGAGAAAGAGACGAAGAGGAGTGAAATGTTCACCGACTCAACAGCTGCCCCTAACAATTTTTTTTCTCAATGGAATACTATATAGTTTACTGCTTATTTCCTCCTCTCTCTCTCTCTCTCTCTCTCTCTCTTTCTTTCTCACTATCATTCTCCCTCTCACTCTCTTGCCAATCCTTTTTTCCCTCCGTTTTCTCTCGTTTCATCTTCGCTTGGTCCGTGAATGAGTTTCTCCGCGCGATTGGCATGTCTGAGTCTCGTTAAAAACCCATCTCGATACCGCTCGATCTATATATCGTATAGTCAAATAATAGTGTATACGGCTAACGTTTAATTGTTACCTTTTTATATATATATATATTTATATAAATACTTAGAAGTTAACGCTATGATAGATGCCTCTTTCGTAGGAGATTGCCGGTCCGTCCTCGTTTGCGCAACAAGGAAATTAAATGTTACACTCGTGCGACTATCTATTGTTATTTATCGTATTCGTGGTGAACGAATCAAGACGGTCCCTCTTTATTAAACGCGGTTAAATTAATAAATGTACAGTGTGTGTGTGTGTCTGTTCGTGTGTGTATATATAACAAAAAAGAAGGAAAAAGATAGCTACCAAGTTGTTCGATGTATGTATGTACACCTAAATCGAACGCAACGCGTTTCGTCGGATTCATCTTCGTCTGAAACCGACCTCCATCGATCCTTTAACCTCTGGATCGTGAGATTGCGATCGTAACGGAGGCGCGAGTGTATAAAATGGGGCTCCATTGTTGGCACTTTCGAGATTGCATCGGTTGCAACTTGTGTATTGTTCGTTGATGGACGAAATGGTTGCTGTTTTTTTTTTTTTGTTTTTCGTGTCGCGAGTCCTGTGCTCGAGTAATGTTTCCTTTCTGTCGGGAAATTTGAACGATTCGTGTACAGTAAGAAAGCTGTATTGGAATGTGTCTGTCTTCTTTTTCTTTCTTTTATCATCTGTTTGTCGCATTGTAGTGTGGTAGTTGTTCTTAGGATCTAACGAATGTGCGATAAAGTGGTTTCTCGAAAAAATCGTTTCGTTGGCAAATACAGTATCGAACTTTTGAGCGGTCCATAGTGTGAAATGTTCGAGCGATGAATGGCGGAGCGAGAGAAGTCTCTCTCTCTCTCTCTGGCATGCAAATGAGAAGCAAAACGGAAACTTTACGAAAGTACAAATGTATCTACGAAAGGGGACATTTCTTTTTTTTTTTTTTTTTTTGGTACGCTTCTCGAGGATGATGATTCGTGAAAATGTTCGAAACACGTAGGTTAACACACACGTTCTACCCAATGAAACGTCGAAACTTTGGTCGAGCTACACATCTCTATGGATCGATTAGCGCGACTACCAACTACTACGCAGCATCGAATTCTCGTCTACTAGATATTGCACTCGCCTAAACGTAGTAACTACACCGATTTTCATCGACTAGCGGCAATTCGTCGTCATTCTTCACGCGGCACTGCAAGGAAAAAAAAAAGACCATCTTCGTTGACGCTTTCATTGTCGAATAACAATAGTGCCATAGTGTCGAAACACCTATTTGTCCCTCCAATTATCAAACCGTATCATTCGTGCATTATGCAATCGACCAATCTGCAACATTCATTCGTCACACTTTTCCAACTCACGTCGAACAGACACGCTCTCCGAGGACCCAATGCTAACCACGAATCATCAAAAGCCAACACGAAGAACAACCCCTCGCGGATCGATCGTTACACATCGATCCTAACTCCCTCTAATTCTTCAATTACGTTTTTACCACACGAACATCCCTCCGGATCTCTCCTCGAATTTTCTATCGCCACACACATCGAGGAAGCATGCTGCTGCTCTCTACCTCGAAATTCTACGATTCTACGATAGCTGCGCTACTAAACAGTTCGCGTTCCCTTCCGCGAGAAATGCACACGGAGTTATAGACGCGTCCCTAACTTGTACTCGAACGGTGAAAAATGACTGTGATCACGGACCTCGTTCACCCCGTTCAACGCTTTCAATTATGCATTCTTTATACGAATAGAGCTATCTGCTATTGTAAACGTGATAAATACAAAGTGTGCGTATAGCCACGCGTTAAATGGTGGTGTAGTTTATTTGGCAGTTTCTCGTGTTCCACTCGTCAACCTACTAAATATCATCTCCTCTCCTCATGATATACACACATAAATGTATATCACTGCAAGATGGATAATATCGACGTTTCCATCTTGCTCGTTTTCTCTCCGCTCTCCAGACTAATATCGAGAATTAATATCGCCCGTGTTTTCTCGCTCGATTAATAATCTCGCGTGCTTTATGTACATGCATGCAATATCTTTGGTTTCGCTGCGGAGCAATCTACGCTTAGTTGTGTACAGACGATTGCTATTTTCTCTTCTCTTCCTCTTCAATGGTACCGCGACAAATTTCTTCTTCACGTTTCTGCACGCTTCCTTTCAATATCTCCCCTCCGTCGTTTGTCGTCTACTTCTCGAACACGTTCGTATAACCGGCGATCACACACATTCTCTCTCGATTATCACTTACGATTCGACAACTACAACAGTTAGGCCTGCTCCTCGCGGAGCCTACGTACGGATGCTACGCGTTGTTCGATCGATAATAGCACTACTATGACACACCTCGAGCAGTCTTCGAAGTCGACCTCCGGTCGTCGGCTCGAGTCCGTTTCCTTACACCGTATATATGTATATACCTCGAAAGTTGGAAATCGGACTTACGTTAGAAGCAGAATCCCCTAGAAGACTCTGTGGAGTATTTAAATATACAATAGATAGATATTTGGTACCGTTTCGTGGTATTAGTATTCGTTTTTTCTCTTCTAATCGCGAGGTTTGTCGAATCAGCACTCGATAAATACATATCGTCGTCTCTCATACTTTTCCATTTCTCTTCTCGTTCAATTTTCTCCCCATTTTCTCCTTGTTTTTGCGTTTTTACAATAATAAGTGCGATTGCGTGTACGTGCGTGCGTACGATGAGCACGTGTGTGTGTTTGTGTGTGCGTGCATACTGGGTGCACGTGAACGCTGAGACACGTGAAAAAGCATAAAACGAGGATAAGGGCTTGTCAGTCTTGGATGATGAAAACGTGGAGGGAAAGGAAAGAAAGAGAAAGCAGCGGCGACTCGAACGAGGGGTGGCGATTTTATGGAAGAAACGAATTCACCGTGGTGACCCAATCCACAGCCGTCCACGGTTCAAAGGGAAAACGATTCAGCCTTCTGTGTCTCATCAGTCCATTTTTTCTTTAAATTCTTTTTTTTTTTTTCATTTTTTTAGTTTTTTCTCTATATTTTAATTGATTGCGCGCGATCAAAATTGAGCATTCGCGAATTCGTCCGCTCGCCTCTGCGTCCTTTCGTCACGGAATGTTCGGTACGTGTCTGTGTATGCATGTGTGTGTGTCGTTTAGTAAATGCAGTGTAACGTTGCTTCTCATGGTGCAACAGGGGTGAAAAAATCGTGTCTTTTCGTTACTTGTTTTTTTTTTTTCGTATTTTCTCGTTTTCTCGTTCTTCTCTAATAAGTTAGTTTTAGGCGAGACATCGATGTAAC